TCCCAGCACTTTGGGAGGCCGAGGCAGGAGGATCGCCCAGGAATTTGAGGCTGCACTGAGCTGTGTTCTCACCACTGCACTCCAGCCTGGGCAACAGAGAAGACCCTGTCTCTAAAAAAATAAAAATAGTCAGAATGCACCCAAAGCCTGGCTGAGGACCGAGCTGGGCTCTGGCTGGTGCTGGTCCTGCCATGCAGCCCCTGGCCGGTCAGAGGCTGGTTGGGGGGTGAGGGGCTGCCTGCCGTAGGCTGTGTCCCACGCACACCAGCGCTGCCAGCTGCTCACAGCTCAGTTTTGTCCTGTCCGCTCTGATCTTTTTGTCACAGTTCTTTTCTCAACTCCTTCTGGTCCTGTGTGCACACTTGAGGGGACCCGTGTCACCGTCGGCCACGGGCTCTGTTCTGTCCCTGCCCCTCCCTGGCTGGGTCAGCCATGAGGCTCAACCGACTGTTTCCTGTCTGTCAGGGTCTCTGTCCCTCCTTGCCTGGTGTCCAGGGCCTTAGGAACCCAGGTTTCATGAGTTTTGTCTGGTTTTTGGTTGTTTCAGGTAGGAGGCTGCATCCAGTCCTGGTTACTGCTCCACCTTGACCGTACACAGAAGTCTCAGATCTCCGGAATCTTGACATATGGTGTTTTCATTATTGTTTTATAAGTATTTTCTAATTTCTGGAATTATTTTTTGATCCATGAGTTATCGTGGAAACTTTTCTATTTTTATTTTTTGAGACAAAGGCTCGCTGTGTCACCTGGGCTGGAGTGCGGTGGCATCGTCATAGCTCCCTACAGCCTCGAACTCCTGGGCTCAAGTGATCCTCCCACCTCGGCCTCCCGAGTAGCTGGGACTCCAGACGCCACCACCATGCTTGTTCATTTTTCTATTTTTAGTAGAGACAGGGTCTCGCTCTTGCTCAGGCTGGTCTCAAACTTGTGAGCTCAAGTGATCCTCCCGCCTCGGCCTCCTAGGATTACAGGTGTGAGCCACCAAGCCCAGCTGATTCTCTCTTTTTAAAAACTGATGTCAAAGCTGCTCGTGTCGTAGTTAGGTAACACGAGCCATATGACATCAGTTCTTTGAGATCACTTTAGGCTTTCTTCGTGGCCTAACGTGTGGCCTGTCTTTGTTTGTGGTCCCCGCGTATCTGGGGAGAATGTGTCGTCCATGGCTGTGTGCAGAGTTCCACGTGCTTGTCCTATTCCGACTCACAGCACAGACCCTCTGTCCTCACCAATTCTGTCTCGTTCGCCATCAGTTGCCAAAGGGGAGTTAGACTCTCTGCCGTGACAGTATTAGGGCCAAGAGTAGAATTACAAACTCAGCTTTGCTTATTCCTGGAGGATTTCCTGCCGGGCGCTGATGAGTGCGCGGCCCTGCCGTTGGTGATGGTTCGAGAATATTGTCAACACCACGTCTGGGGTCGCTTCTGTGGCTTTCCCAGGGCTTGGGAGCAGCGACAGGTGCTTCTGGATTAACCCGTCAGCCGGGGCCTCCGGGAACACAGGACGCCCAGTGGGACACAGACTCCCGGGATCCTGCCCGGGCGCACGTCTGTGCGCGGCGGTTGCTTATCTGAAGTTCGTGCTTACCCGGGTACGTTAGCCAGATGTGGCCACTCTAATCCTGGAGGGGCCTTCCAGCCCCACCTCGCCAGAGCCGCCGTCCCTGGGGCCGACGTCTAAGTTAGCATCTCCCCCGCCTGTCGTTTCTCCAGGCTGCACCCCCAGGAAGTGCGGCAGAGGCGTCACCGACGTCGTCATCACCAGGCAGGAAGCGGAGCGGATTCGCAGGTAACCGCCCTCCTCTGAGCGCCTTGTCCCAGGGTGTTCGCTGGTCAGATTTAAGCAAACAGATGGGAAAGTGGGCCTGGGGCAGGAAGACAAAAATTACTACTGAAAAAATGACTTAAAAGATTTCATTATAATTCCTTAAGAATTTCCTTTTGTGCTTTCAAAGGCAAAGGTTGGATTTTCCAGTTTCTAGGAGGAAAGGCCGTGACCCTCGGGGATGCTGTCGCTGGCAGAACCTTCCCAGGGCGCGGCCTCCTCTCCGGGGAGATGCTGTCCCCACGGCTCTTGCGGGAGCCCCGCACGTGTGAGACTCGTGCTCTCCGAGCCTCGGTGGTCAGTGGCTACCTGATGTTTCTGTGTCTGTCTGAAGCTGGGTCAGCCCTTCCGCCAGCCTGGCCATGGCTTGTGGCAGCACAGGTGCTTGCCGGAAGCAGCTGGCCCTGCATTTTTCCTTGTTGAGATTTGAAAAACAAGATCTTGAAAGCTTTGATTTTCGGACCAGTTGTTTAGACTCAAAGCATGTGGAGCGTCATCTGGCCCTTGGGCTGTCCTCCCAGTCCAGTGCCGTGCCCCTGGGACTCCGAGGGAGCCCGGCCCATCTGCAGGGTCCTCTACGGTCCCAGGAGAGACTCGGAGCAGTTCAGCCCATTCCAGGAACACTCCCGAGGCTCCCGGCCTCACGCTGTGTGCGGCACCATTGGCTCTTAGTGAAAAGACGGGAAGTTAAGCCTGGTGGTTTCTAAGCCGAGTCGTGTGTTAACAAGACGGCAGTAACGATATCGTCGCCCACTTAACTTAGAAAGTTCAGTCCTTTGGTCTAAACATTTGCATCATGAACATTAGACAAACAGAATCTATTACGTTACCTGAATTATGCTGATTGATATTTTGCCTCGATACATCTTGGATAATTCCAGTAACTAAATTCTGACTCAATATTATCCCCCACAGCATAGCGGAGAAGGGGCTCTCCCTGGGAGGATCTGACGGAGGGGTGAGTTGAAGGTGGTTCCTGCCTCGGTTTCTTTTTACCCTTGACCTTTGCTCTTACTCGGGGCTGGGGGAGAGAGGCCCAACGTGCAGGGTCCTTGGGTTCCCCCGGGCTGTGGACCGGCCGTGGCGTTTCTCAGCACCGACCACGGCAGCCACACCTGTCGGGCACTCCGTGGCCCCCAGATGTCCCCTTGTTGGGAAGAAAGTGTCCTTAGACTTGTGTGGTGTCTTCACATGGCTTTGGGTCACGTGGGGGGAGGAGGAGATGGAAGAGGGGGTAATTGAGGGGCCGGGAGATGCTCCAGGGGACCCAGAGGCCTCTGGACACGCCCCGCGGGATGGCAGTGCTCGGCGGTGGCCTCAGGGGACGTGTTCCCCCAGAGCCCGTGAACTTGCTCTGACTTGGGAAGGATCTCTGCAGACACGGTGAAGGCTCCTGGGATGCGAGCCCTCGGGTGGTCGGGCTGGGCCCTCAGTCTTGTACGTGTCCTTATGAGACGGCAGGGGGGTCTGGGAGCAGAGGCTGGGGCGGTGCAGCCACAGCCCAGGGATGCAGGAAGGACCCTCCCCGGAGCCTGCAGAGGGAGGGCAGCAGTGACGCTTTGGCCTCCAGAACTGTGAGAGAATCCACTTTGTTGTTTGAAGCCCCCGGTTTGTGTCACAGCAGCCGAAGATCACCGAGCCAGCTGCACTCTGGTTTCCTCAAGGTTGTTTTCTTGCTTAGTGTG